TGCGGCATTCTCTTCTTTACGCGAATATGCAGCTCGCTGGCTTTCTGCAGGTCGGTAGTTATTACACTCCCAATGCCATCATCATGCACGTTAGCTAAAGGTGGAATAAACATCTATTGTGCCGCAATACATTAAAGAAGAAAATATGCAGCAAGGGCACGCCGCTTGAGTCACCGGTAACGCATGGACATCGTTCCGGAGAGTTAACAGCCGACTAGTGTGCAGCAAATAGAATTACATTGTGCCTAGTAAATGAGATCGTGGTTGCAGGGCGAGGCTAAGCGGGATGGAGAGGGACACAGAAACTCACAATACGAACGCTACTGCGGCCGGCTCTTAGCCATATCAATATATGCATCCAGTCAAACGTGTTCAACGTCTTTCGGAACCCAACCAGAGAGCCGAGAGGCTCCAACCGAGGCCAGCTCCGAAGTGAAGGCCTTCATTCCTCTGGACAAAGTCGTCGCTTGGTCATTCCTCCTCTTCCCTTCACACCCCCGGCGCGCAAACAACGCACGTCGCGGGAGTCGATGGGTTGCCATGCGCGACACCTGGCCTAGTCATCGGAGCCTAGTGCGCGGAATAACGGTGCCGAGCAATTCACTTTATCTTCCTGTGCCGTAAACGTGGCGTCGAATACGCTCATTGCTCACACGGTGTTCCCACCAGGCACCGGTTATCGAACGTAGCTAGCCTCTTTACGTCTGCCGATTCAATGGGCTAGGTTTCACAACTGTACAGTAGGCTGCATTGTATACTCTACTTTTCAGGAAGACAGTGACGTCGCGCCTGCGCCATAGGTGGCGAATGTTAGCAAAAGCGCTCCGAGCTTTTGCTTTACGGTTTGTAATTTTGTTTTCATTTCCAGCGGCGCTGATACAACTGCCTAGATAGTTGATTCTTTGAACGACTTTTAGCTGATCCCTACCAGGGGTCAGCGCAGGAGGCAATCCCTGCCAATCTTGGAGGAAAACTTTGCACTTCGAGGGTGCAAAGCAAAGTCTGAAACCCTTGACAGCCAGTGTTAATCTGTCTACTGCTGTTTGGCACGTTTGTGAGCTGTCACAGATAAGGGCAATGTTGTCAGCATGCTCCAAGTCAAGAAGTCGTTCACAACCTTTATAAGTCATGTCCTCCATGACTTCGTCAATAGTGTTGAACAGGAAAGGTGACAGCGGACATCTTTGTCTTAAACCGTTGGAGATATTGAAAGGGTGTGACAGTTTGCCGTAAGCCCTTTTTCTACCCGAGTTACGCGGGTAAAGCACTCGGATAATATCTACATATTTCTCGGGCACACCTTTTCTTTACAGACAGTCCCAAAGCGCGTATCGATCCACCGACTCGAAGGCACTTTTGATATCGAGGAACACGACTACGGTGGGCCGCCAATATATCTGACGGTGCTCGAACGACCGATGCAAGGTGAATATGTGATCGATGCAGCCCCGAACTCGACAAAACCCGACTTCTCACGAGTGCTCGTCATTCTGTGAATGAAGTCAAACGCATGCAATTTGGGGGCGATGGAGATCAGACTGATTCCTCTGTGGTTTCAGCATTCCGAACACGCGCCTCCTTTGAAGATCCTGACAATAACGGAGAGGCTCCAGTTGGTTGGGTCAGTCTCCTTCTCCAACAGTTCCACTAATACCTAGTGTAAATCATCCAATAGAGCAAGACTCCCGAATTTGAAGATGCCGCAGCCTTATCAAATTTCAACAGCCTGATCTCATGTTCGACTTTTGAGTGGGAGGGCGGATCCAGAGGGACAGCCCAGGGAGCAGGGCGAGCACTGCACGGTGAGGAATCTAACAATTCCGACCGATTAAATTGCCTTTCAGAGTGCTCGGATTGATGTTCCAAGCGTTTTAACAAGTTGTGAATGGGCTGTCTACTCTCGTCACACATATTTTCAGTAACACCAAGTCTCCTGTTTCCCGTTTGCCGTATCAGACAGAATAATTCCTGATGCTTACCAAGGGTAGTGGCCACTTCCATTTCTGACGCACGATGAGACTACCAGGATTCGCGCTCTCTCCTCAGGCTGATACGGAGCTCTTTGCGAGTCTCATTGTGTTCGCTTCTAGCCGGAATGCTCCAGCGAGCATCGATAAGTTCCAGAGACTGCGTAGAGACCCAATATCCATGTTTCCTTTTGGATTTGCTACATGAAGATTTGTCTGCTGCTAGTAAGCTCTGATGAACATGCGACCAGTGACCTTCAGCTGTATTCATTGAGCGCTTACTCAGTCCAAGTGCCAGCATACTTTGATGCGCATTCAGCACATCTGGCTTCGCCAGTTGGCTGGTGTCTACGCGCTCACAAAGTCGTCGAAGGCACCCGCCAAAACGCACAGGCAGATCAGCACATACAAGCGCATGATCAATGTCCACACAGATGCTCCAAATCATGCGATAGTTTTGGACGCAGCCTCTCCAGCGGTAACTGATCACAATGTAATCGATCTGCGTCCATGGGTGGTCTGAGGCTGGCGGGTGCTGTGTCGCAAGTTGGTGCTCACAAGAAATAAGCGAGCATGTTCACAGAAGTGAAGCAGCCGCTCACCATTATCAATATGGAGCCTGCACCATGTTGGCCGCCCAGATGCAGCTCATCAGTGGAGAGTTTCCCAGCTTGAGCGTTCAGATCCCCAGCCAGCACACAGTGTCTGTGCTTCTTCTATGGCGAATGAGCTCGTTCAATTGACGATAGAAGTCCTTTTCTACCGAATCATCCTTACGATTTGTGAGGGCGCAGGCAGCGATCACAAACAGACGCCTACTAGCCCCACGCGACTTCGAAGTTTTGAACGAGCCAGCCAGTCGGACCGCACACATCCGGCTACTGATTGCGATCCAAACAACCAGAGCAACTTCAGCCCGGGGACTCAGAGCAATACCAACCCCGGCTTGGCCGGATAGGCGCAATGAGAAAGCACTATTGGTGTTACTTGAAGGGGATCGTAGAGCGAGCACAGAGCTTGAGTCCTGCAGGGGGGTTTCCAGTAGGCAGCAGGTATCGATCGAGAGGATCTGTTCTGTTCGGGCACGTGCTGCTTGTATTGACCGTAATTCCGAATTTAGCGGCTGTCGTAGCGAGAGCCGTCGTCATGCGTTTCAACCCATCCGCACTGTGTACAAACAACACACTTGCTGGCAAACAGCAACCGAGAGATCTTGAATCGGAGTTTAACGAATGGTACCATCTGCGACATTTGGACATCAGCCAGAATAATACCATTGCATAAAAGGACCTCGGATATGTCGGCCAACTGCGTGCATGTTTGCGTTGCTGAAGGTACTAGAAAAACTACTGATCACCTGAATTTTTACAAACAATCAGACTGATGATGTCAAACATTTTGCCTTCAAATCACGGCACTCTACATTGGATGCCATTGCTTATCTGGTGCATTCTATTGCGTTAGCGTTGGATAATGAACGCAAGAGCGTACGGTTCCTATTTCTTGATTACACCAACGCCTTTGAGAGCCTCGACTGATCAGTACTACTCAACATTTTGTGTCTGGTGTCCCCCATATGTGTTTCGTGTGATGCATGTTTACTTTACAAATCACACCCACTTCATTCCGATATGCAGCAGAAAGTCTTCTGTACTCCCTGCAAATTGGGATACTTTGCAGGGAGCCATCTATTCTATTATCTGCCTACTTTGAAACTTTCTATTCCATCGAACTTCATAGGCTGTAAATATGCTGATGATGTCGTCCTCGATTGCTGCATAACCTCAATCATCCGCCCGTAGCCTAAAGGGGACAAGCTTGTCTTGTAATCTGACGGCGCGTGTTTGAGCCTGCGTAGGTGCTGGGCCACCCTCCCAGTATCTTCAGCCCACGCGCGTCCGGTGTTGGTTACGCGGCAGCGGAGCGTCAGTACTGCGCACCGGCGTATTGCTGATGCGTTTGTCATCGAGGACTGTTTGAAACTCCAACGAGGAGTAGATGAACTAGTGACTTGGTCCAGCTCTCTGTCCCCCTCTCTCAACCCTTCCAATTGTTGTAAGATTCTGTTTTCCACATCCCCACAGACTGCATTCCCTTGTACATATCTCGTCTCCCATGACTGAGGATGACCAAAGCATACCTCACACATCCACTGTAAAATATTTCGGAGTTTTCTTATCTCACAACTTATATTGGTATACACATCTTGAAACATTGAACATGTATTAAGGCTCTTTTTACGCCCAGGTTTACAACGCTTTCCATTCACCGTGCGTTAATTCTAAGGTTTTTAACTACATATATTCTCTTTCACTGGTTATACTGTTTCCCTGTTCTTTTCCGTGGACTGCTTCAAAAAGATTATCTCCTTGTCCATTCGTTAAAGTCTATTTCTCGCTTCTCTGGTTTAAGGAAAGAACCGCTTAGATTTCATTGTTAACAAACTTTTTGATGCATGCACCAGCTTTCCTCACAAGATTTTAAACGACCCCTTTCATCCTTTACATGTTCTCCTAGCCAGCACTATATCTAATTCTTTCACATCCCCGGAAACGTTACAACAAAAACACCCGACTTTATTGGGATGGTTTCTATCACCTTTCTTTCGAGATTGGCACATGCAGAATTGGATTTGCGGTATTTATTTGACAAGCTGCTTCTGGACCTTTAGTTTACCTTGATACCAAATGATTAGCTAGAACCATGAACACTTGCGTTACCAAGTGAACATAATATTGGTACCCTTCTCTGATCTTTGTCAATATCATATTCTTTTTGCTTGGGTTCACCTTATATAGATCTAGTTATATTTGGCTTTTCTTCGTTCCATTCCGATGTATTACCTCGGACACATCACTTGCCCTCGTGCGCATTTGTCGATCGATAACGTTGTATAAAACATCGTTAAATTTTATCTTTTCTCTATAGTCTCATGTGAGATGTCGTGTTTGGGCTCGCCGGGTATTTCGTGGTCGAGATTTGGGCACTGTATATCTCGAAAACACACACGAACCTGATTGGCGCCTGGTTCCCATGGATGAAGCAGAGCAATTGTTGGCTTCGGCCGAGAGCAAACAAAAGGTTGCACCCGACATACCAGTGCGATGTGTTGCTCCGATGCCCCCTCTACTCGCTTTGTATTTACGCAGCCATGCGCGGTTCCCGAAGTCGACTGTGAACTCTGCAGCGAAAGCGAATCCCGAAACTCTCCCACCGACTATGCGCGAAGCTAACGGATTTCTGCTGTTGACAAAGGTTTTTGAGGATCCTACAACTCTTCAAGTAAGGCATGCGAAGCCTGGTAACGTATTTTGTAGGCATTAACTTTGCTTTATGCCTACGTTTTATTTTTCTCATCTGTTTCTTTAGCCAGATAATATTTGCATTGTGTTTGTTTTCAATTCATTTCCTACCCATCGCTAGCACGATGTGGAGTCCCACTTATGCATATGTTCAATCCATGTTCCAGGACTGAACGTTGCTTGGACCAATGCGCTCATTCGTGTAGCCCCTATAGTTCGCTGCCCGATCTTTTAGTATGGCGGAGTAGAGAGTTCAATTTCCCTGTGAATTTGGCTAGCATGCTCTATCGGACGAGTTATTTTTATTTGCGCCACCATTTCCATTGATCAGAAGAGTTAATGAGTTCTTTTGGTGGCATTTTTTCCTGATCATTTGCCACAACGCTGGATTCTTACATTTCGCATTCACTAACCATGGATACTTGAAACTGTGTCAGACTTTCTCTGGGGCAATTGGTTCGTTGAAATCCCCCTCTCACTCACTGTTGCCTGTCTTGCCAGTGTTTTTTTTCATTTTCACACTTGGCACCACACTAGCCACGACGACTTTGATGCGATGTCAATGCTTCCCATTTCGCCTGCTCGTCTGATTATATCTGTCTGATTATATTCTGCGTGAGTGTCGTTTCGTTGTACGAACTGATTATCCTAGTCCCGGGAGCAATTCGACTTCCTCTTCGACTGTCATTCCTCTCAGCTGACCACTACGATTTTTATCTCATTTACAGGGAACATTCATTTAATTCTTCCTTCGTACCTTCCACGAGAAATCTGGTGTAGATATCGTTCTCAGCTTCAAGGCTAATTCGTCGTTGGTTGATTGAAATCCTTTGAGTAGTTGTTTGTGTTCAGTCCGTTTGATAACATCAAACAGGAGCGATTAACGAAGTAACACCAGCCGTTGTACATTTCTGGTTGCCGTTTATGCACTCACCGACCGCAGTCCTGATATTGTCAAGCACACTTTCTATTACAAACTGAACACGTTGCTTCGCAGTGTTGCCAGTTCCAATACTGTTGTTGTTGCTGGGGATATGAATACGCAAGTAGGTTTCCAGCCCCTCAGAGGCTCAACTATGTGATACATATGGGCTTAACTTTGTACGGATGGATAACAGTCAGCGTTTGATGCATTTGTGCGCGGAGCACCGGCTGTTTCTTAGCAGCGCTGCTTTTAGACACAGTGGGCGCCGAAGTGCCACTAGGCGTCTTTCCATGGCTATCCAACGACGGACCCAAATAGATCACGTTGTCACAATTTATAGGTGGGTTGGTTCCATCATGAACTGTCACACGTTCTGGAATACCTGTGCCAACTCTGAGTATGCTACAATGGAACAGCGCTTTGAATATATGCACCATATACCTGATCTTACATTTCATGCGCTACAGATTTTGATCACCTCCCATACTTAGTTTTGACCATCAGAAAGCAATATGATGTGGCGCTCTCCAGACATCTACTTCAAATGTGTGGATTATGATTTATGAGTTACTTGGTATTTTACTGCCAGCCTTCAGTCCCTTCTTGACTGGTGCTCCAATCCAACGGACATAATCAAAAGTCATGACTCGATGGACTGTGTGTGTCCTGCGTTAAATGACGGCTATATTTTTATTACCCAGATGTACGCCTCATTAGGTACATCGTGGTACACCAATTGCCTTTGACTTGACTTCCTTCGTTGTGAACGTATATTGCTTGGCTGATTTGCTGCGGAACACCATATTTGGCCATCTGCTGGCTTCCAGACACCTGCTGCCGCACACCGTCCATATGCACCAGATTTCGGCAGTCGTTCACTGTGTCAGTGTGCCACACCCACTGACAAAACCATTACTGTCCAACTGCAGTATCACTCTCAGCTGCTTTTGCTCCTGCTAGCCACTCACCTTCACACGCCGCTTGTTCATTTATTACCAATCAGTATTATCCCTTACCAAATGCTTCTTGATTCCATGATTCTACTCTGGCTGGTTTCGTCGACACCCAGAGAGCTCACCCAGTCGCACTCCTTCCGCCTCGGTCTACGTTCCTCCTGGCATGCTTCAATGTACACACACTCATGCAGGTCAGGCAGCAAGCTGGTCTTGCGCGCACCCTGGAATCCCTCGCCATCGATGTTTGTTTTCTTTCCGAAACGCGCTTACGTGATTGAGTTGAGATTTCTCACCGACCACGGAGCCATATTTCACCTACGTCTATCTGGTGACACAAATGCAACTGCGGCAGGCTTAGCTGCCTTTAGTATAGTGCTAAGTAGCAACGCCGAGGCAGCACTACTGGACTGGTTCTCGATTAATAGCCAACTGTGTGCAGTTCGGCTTCGGGGACCTTGCAAGATAAATCGATATCGTGAGGAGAGACGCAACTTGTTTGTGATCTCAGCTTACGCACAAACTGACTGCAGCTCCGCTCCGTCAAGGACGATTTCAACCGTGAACTTCATCAGCTCTTGAGCAGAACCAGCAAATCCGATATTGTTGTCCTTGCTGCGAATCTCAACGCATGTTTCGATCGTCTGCTGGCATTCGAAAGTCACCTCGGTGGTTACCATGCGCTCAATGAGAGCCGCTCAGCTAATGGAGAGAAACTTCTCACACTGCGAAAATAATCATCTTTTTCTGTCGAGCACCAACTTTCGGCATTTAAAGAGACGTTCCGCTACTTGGCGACCCACTTCTGCGTCTCAATCATGGTCTCAGGTTAATCATATCACAATCAGTTTCAGATGGAGGGTAGTGTAAAGGATTGCAGATCTATCTGGTCCACTTTTCTTAACTCAGACCATGTTCTTGTCTGTGCGAACGCATGCATAAGTTTCGGAGGGTCCCCAAAAATGAAGCGCTGTAACATAGACACAAATAAACTATCTGCTGTTACGGTTCAGCAGAGTTATCAAGCTTCCCTTGCTGGTGCACTCGGTTGCGACCCGTCACAAGATATTGTTGAACACTGGACTTGCACGCAGAGGACCATGATTCCTTCCGGATAGCAAGTCTGTGATATTATTCAGCACCCTATGAAGGCCTGGATCACGCGATTTTTGGATTTATTTGATCGCAGCAGTAGTATCCCAGCGGAGTCTAATCATGATGGAGTGCACTGTTCTGTCAGTCGGCAGCCCACACAAAGCTTACGCAGTGACCGTGAAGCCTGGTGGTTCCAACGTGCTTCGGAACTGGATGCCGCTGCCTTATCTGCTAATACTCGCGAGCTCTTCCAACTCATTTGATCCACTGGCCACAGAAAGCCTGGTGTCAGTGAGACTATACGAAGCGGATGGTTCGCCGATTGCCAACATGCAGAGACCCTTGGACCGATTGGCCCAACACTCATTCCCAGTTCAATTGGCCCTCACCGTCCACTTATACCCCTGCGTACTCAGCTACCCGCCCTGGGTCGTCACACTTGATCCACTCTGCAAAGCGGAAGTTTGTCTTGCATTTAGACATCTAAGACGATTCAAGACTGCCGGCTCAGACGGAATTCCGTCGGAGCTGTTCAAATATGGAGGTTCAGTTATCATTAGCCAGCTAACCTCATTGTTCTCAAAAATCTGGCATAAAGTAAAGGTGTCTTCTTCCTGGGGCGAGTCAGTTATTGTTTTGGTTTTTAAGCAGGGTGTTCGCACTTCATGTACCAATCACCGAGGGATTAGTCTCATTTCGGTTGCTTCCAGGATATTGGCATCCATTCTACTCCGCAGACTATCCCATTTGCGAATCGCAGTACCGAGAAGAACAAGCTGGCTTCCGACCTGGCCGCGGGTATGTGCATCAGATAGTCACACTCAGTCACGTTCTGGAACACCGCCACTTTTACCAGAGGCCTACCATCGTTGCATTCCTAGACATCCTTGCTGTATTCGACTCGGTCGATCGATCAGCACTATGGTGTTGTTTCCTAAGGATCGGTTTCACATAAAACTACACTGCCATCCTACGCGCACTGTGTTTCCACTTCTCTGACAGAGTGAGTGTGTATGGCAGGCTTTCTTCGCCCTTCGTTGTCAATAGCGGTGTACGACAAGGCTGCTCAATGTCTGCGTTCCTGTGATATTTTGCGAGGACATTCTGTCGAGAGCTCTAGACAGTTGCCGAAGTTTTGGTATACAGTTATTCCCGAACAAGCGAGTAACCGACTTAGATTATGCCTATGATATCACCTTACTTGGTGTGCATTCACAGAGCATGCAAACCATTCTAGACCGTTTGACGATTGAAACATCTAGGTACTAAATGTGCTTCGCACCGTCAAAGCCTAAAGTGCTGCTTCAGGATTGGAACTCAACTGTTCCCGGGCTCATTATTAAAGGTACACAGCTTGAACAAATGCATAGCTTTCAAAGTTGGACTTGGAGAATCCGCTGGTGGTTGGGTTGCTACAAGCAACCTCTATTGAGACGTCGGTTCACTTGAGGTGGACCTCGGTCATTCCGATCACAATGACCGTAAGTAAAATGGAAACATTATAGTGTTGCTCATCCCAACACTGGCACCCGAAGACCGCGGTTTCGTCCTGGTTGGGACTCATCAGTTCGAGATAGCCTGAGTTGGGCTGGAACGCATAGCCTAGTGGCTCATGGTTGACGCCATAAGCACTATGCCACTGAGATCCGCGAGCAACGCTTGGTACAGCGGAAACGAATTCAAAGTTGGACTTGGAGAATCCGCTGGTGGTTGGGTTGCTACAAGCAACCTCTATTGAGACGTCGGTTCACTTGAGGTGGACCTCGGTGCATAGCTTTGTCTACCTTGGCAACTGTGTGTCTGCTGGTGTAGTTTCTCTTCGCATCGCAAAAACTCGGTCGGCGTTTTTCAATCTGCAGCACTTGTGTCGTCGCCGGGATATCTCCCTCTTGGTAAAGGGTCGTGTTTACAATGCCACTGTTCGGGCGGTGTTGCTGTGTGGAAGCTAGTCCTGGCCACTCCGCCTAGACGATATGTGCCGGCTCTCGCCCTTCGACAGCGGGTGCTTGAGGAGGATTGCTCGTATGTGGTGGCAACAACACATTTGCAACAGTGAAGTCAGACGTCGTGTCTTAGGGAATGCGAGTATTCCCTTCAACAAACTGGTTTTGCTGCGCCAGTTAAGATGGCTCGGTCATGTCCTGCGTATGTCAGCTGAGCGTTTGCCCTATCCCGCTCTCTTTTCTCGCGCAGCACTCAACTGGAAGAGACCACGTGGTGGTCCACCATCCACCTGGCGACAGCAAATGAAATCGTTGGCTTCACGTCTTGCCACCATTGGATCCACACGTCTACCCGGTTAGGGACCAAAGGACGACGAGTGCCAATGGCTGGAAGCAATTCAGGATATGGCTGGTAATCGAAATCAGTAGAGGGTCTGTGTAAATAACTGCTTAGATTCGGATACTTAATGCTTAACGCTTAAAAACGACAAAAACTAAAAGCGGAGCATGCAAAATAACAACAAAAATGCTCCGTTGATTTTTTATGTTGCGGCACAATAGCTGAGGCGTGTTGCTCACCGTCAGTTACTGTGCCATGCTACTGATAAGGTGTTCAACCTGTCTGCTTTTAGTGATTTCCATTGTTATGTTTGACTGTGTCTATTTCATAGACTGCCAATCATGCTACTCCTACTACTACTACTAATAATAATAATACTAACAATAAAGGCAATACTAAGAATTCTTATTGTGCAGGTATCGTCAATGCTCCCTATGTGACTTGTCTTACAGGTGCCCATTCCACCTACACCGGAGGAGCAAGCACGGATTCATCCACCCTATTCCGTTGCATCGGAAGGCGGCCTTGTTGCAAAGCGCCAAGTTGATCGTGACTCTTACTTCATCCGGCGCTCGGACAGTCGAGGCATTTACTGGAAGGTGATTACGACCAAGGATCCTCCTCCCATTTCCCAACAGCTCATATCCTCAAGTTCCGAAGTACCGAAACCATAGCTTATTTTGTCTGCCTGAAGGTCTCTTCTTAGTGAAATAAAGACCAAAACAGCATGTTTTTTTCGTATGTCTTCTATTAAATAGATTACTCCTGCAATTCACGACTACACCGGTATATTGATCACATGTGCGGTTGTCTTCTGGCTAAGCCGTTTTTCGCGCATCCCGATTAACAGACTACAGCGGATGCAATGACCTATACATTCGAACGGTTGCCATAGCATTCGGCATAAAATGAGTACTCCTAACTAGTGACAAGATCACTGTATGTTTCGCCACAGCGTACACGCTCATCTGCGCATCCTACATAATGTGACAAGTGTACTCGTGTATACTGCTGAACCAAATACTGTCTTCTATTTCTCTCGGTACATGTCACACTGTGTTCTCATGAATTCTAATTTCATGCTACTTGTAGACTAATCAGATGGCGTCGCTCACTTAAGATGTGTCGCGTATGATTCAAACGGAATTCTGGTTACATTTAACTCTCGGAATTATCAGAAATATTTTACAGTTACATTCAGTATCTGTAAAAGTATTGGCGGGGATTGTTTTGTCCACTAGTATGAATATGCTATAGAGTACTGTACAGATGGAGGATTGTTTCTCAAAATGTGGCACGATTTCATGCACTTTGGAGAGCATATATAGACAGGATGAGCACTCGACCACATGAGTAGAACCCAGCGGTTGGAGGGATGCGAGTTTTATCGGTCAATCATCAGCCCTTGGAAATTGCTCGGTAATCATTTTTTCAAAATATCTGTAATGGGAATTGTCACCAGCTGTGTATTTAAATCGGACTCCATATGTCCTGAGCCTTGGTAGCTGAACGATTTCAGATTCCCACTTCACAGTTCCTGCGATTTTGTTCGAACCACCTTGCGGTATCGTGGCTGTGCACTGCATCCGATATGGGTTCACGTGGGTGTAATAAATTCCTTTACTCTCCAGCACGCCTTTCAGCGATGACATGAGCGTCTGGGCATTTCTTCCCATTATGCGGATGCCTAACGCCAGATTGCATCTCCTGGGGGATACCGACGAAGCACATAGCTTATCCAGCGCAGCTTGCTGATTTGGTGAGTGAATTCTGCTCGATGTCACTTTACTTCTGCTTCCGGTTTCTGTGCTTTGTTGTGAATCCAACAGTCTCATGACACTTGTCTCTTTTTTCGGGTGATTCTCCTCGTCATCCTTATCCTTCCTGCTATCCGTCCGGTGCGTCTGTTCGACTGTGATACACCTTGTAGAAAAAGATGGCGATAACACTCCGTTCATCGACTTTTCCAACTGCTGTAGACTTGTTTTGGATGTTGTAAATTTAATATCTGGATCTGTTTGAGCTACCGATTTCTTCTTCATAGCAGCTGCACATTCTGAAAATAAAATGAAAAGTGGAATTCTAACTAACTAGTAAATTTTACCATAGTAATGCAAAGACACAACTTTGAGAAGGGTACTCTTTTGGACAAATCTCTTCAGGCATTTACAATTATAAAAAGAAAGGTCAGAGCATACTGAGCTGAGTAAGCCAAAGAGGGGGGATGTGTATATATGTATGTATGTAATCTCAGTCTAGGGTGTCTAGGGACTTACTGACTGAGCATGTCTGTGAGGAATCTCGTTCTGTATTTTTATCCTTGTTTGAACTCCGTCTAATCTTAGTGGAACAATAGAGCGAAGTTAGGAACTCGCGAAGCAGTGCTGTCGACCGAAACGCTTGGCCTCTACAGCATCAAGACGCGCGAACGCTTTCGTAACGGCTACTTACTCATTGATTAATTGGTTTTTGATGCCATTTGTGCGGACAGATTATGACATACGATCTCAATGTAAACTGCGACATGGTTTGATGTGAATTTTAGTCGGTTCAGTCACTGGGTCCGTATGTAAGACAATTAACTGTTAGGTGATGCTCGCTTCCCACGTTTGCACTTGTTGGCACTTTTTTGGTTGATAAATATATCCAGAGCTACGAAGTGGACTTCAGACCACTTGAGTGCCGTCTACCCACCTGCACGAGTATCACCTACCACGGCGGTCTAGGTACAATGAAATCGAATTTGCTATCACTGTCATGTTACTCGCTTCCGACAGAGTTTATCTTTGACCGAAAAGCCAACGAATCCTATTTATGGAATCAATCGGAAACCACTGGTGGAGCCCATGGTGCTGACTGCAACTCACCGGCACATTCAGTGACCTTTCGGCCCCTACTTATCCGCATTTGAAACACTCTTGTATACGCGCTCGTTGATGTAGTCAACGCATCTGAAAAGAGTGTCTGCTCTCCTTCTTCATCGGTCTCAGTTAATAACACTTTTTGGGTTTTTAGGTTATGACGGTAGGAGATAACGAATCCCAATGTCTCGTACTGTTACTTAACTCCAACTGGTTATACTAATTCACTGGATGAGAATTGACATTAGTGTGATTGCCAGTAGATCTGCCTTTCCAAGTGTCTTGCCGGAAATGTTGTGTTTCTTGCTTGGGAGTATAGTTTTAGGCACAATCTGTGCTTGCATTTGGTTGTGGCATTTCGTTTTCACACATTGCAACACATGCCGTCACTGCCACCCGAACGGGGAATATACAAGCGAATACGGCTTGTCTGAACACATACTACTGTACTTCTCATCGGACACTAAGCGTAACTACGTTGATAGTGGTGGGACCCGTGTCCAACGGTACTACTCTAATTGGCCCCAGCATGAATGTTATGGGAACAGTTCCGTGTCATCTAGATGCTACTCAGATTAAATGCCGAGGGTGTTTTGACCGTTTTTTCGTATTCTCGTGCGTTTTTAGCCCTTCGCAAATGCCGAGTGTCAACAGTTGCCTTAATTGACGTTTATTTTTGCGGCTCGATCATTCACTCTGGTCAGCGACTTTCTCATTTTCCTCGCCATTTATGTTTCGGGAACGCTACCCGTTTAGTGACACGAGTGTATGGCCTCAGGTTGGACTCTGCGCCACCGAAATCTCAACAGTTTCATCCTATTGTTAAATCAACCAGCTATCTTTTCAAACCCAAGTTTATCTACACTATAACATGGGTCTGACCACTAGGTGAACTCTGCTGTTCACGGAGTTTTGTAGTGTGTCCACAGCTGGGAGTCTATTCCACATATCTGAACGTATGACAGCTTCGGCTTGTCTCCTTTTGCTTTTGCTGTAAGTTGACAAGGTTTGGTTCGATATTTTCAGTTGAACGTGCCACACTCTCAGACTCTAACCGGTTGTCAATTTAATACATGGATCAATGAACTCACCATTGAACACCGATGTCACGTTCGCTACTGCAATTCTTCCGTTCGACGACTCACGACCATCTAACGGACATCTGGAGCCGATGGGTACTAAGCTCGCTCTTTGTCTCGACCGCTGCATAGTGGCTTGCTCAGTTCCGGTTCTCCTCCGAATGGAACTGGTGTCGACCTCTTCCGCGGATTGGCGGTTACCTCGCATGGTTGTTGGCGGTGGTTGGTTGTTTCTGTTAAGTTGAGATAGTGGACACCGCGTTTAACCTTTTTGCGAAAACACCTCGTCAGACTTCAAGTCATACCCTTGGATATGGTGAGATATGAAATAAAGGCAGTATATCTGGATGGTACATCCCATTTCATGACCGAAACGTCATGAAGCGCACTGCGATGACGAATTAGGCTGTATACGAAGAGGGAAGTATCAGTGTGCATTATCGACGCGAACTTAATCTAGCTTCAATTGGTTGAAACACGATGCAATCTCAGCAGGGCGACTATGGAAACAGTTTCTCACATCACGAGATGCTTGGTAAATACCATATATCGACATGTACCTCCCTAGACCACGCAAAACTGGGACACGCTCTTGAGTATACGAACCTGGGGTATGTGCAAAGTTATCACTTTGGCGCACTTTGTCAGAGAAATATTCCCGCTTAGGCTGAGCTACTTGATGAGTTTGAGTGCCTCTTGGAATTCATAAAGCACAGCTACGGACTACGCGATCTGCTTATTCGGTTATCATGACAGGAGAGACAAGGTTGAGTTTCGGCTCGTCCACCCTCACCTCATTTGTAACTCTCCTAGTTCCCCATTTTTCTCCGGCTCGCGTGCAGTCATTCGACTTCACTGATGCACCATGCATTCACTGATATCCAACTGACTGCGCTCCCCATCTCTCTCCTAAGGCGTATTCGTGTAACCCAGTTTTAAATGTTTCCAATCCATCCACTATGAAAATACAGCTATCGGTTTTTAATGGGATTAAGCTGCATAATCTCACTTAGCTACATGAATGACGCTAAGTTGTAGTGTTATGGTATTGCCCATACTCGGACTATTGACTATTTCGCGTGCGATATATTGTCGTATTTATTTTTCCTTTATGTATTGTATGTATGTATGTATTTCCTTTATGTATTGCGGTACAATAGCGGAGGTGTTTTACCATCTCTAGCTGACATGTATAATGATGATGATGATGATGATATATTGAGGAATGAAATGTGTTCACTTGCCGTGCCTCGAGCTCATCATCTCGCGACTGTTGCTATGATCCGCGCATATTCCTTTATCATACAATTCCGTCCTTCATTTCTGTGACATCATTCAGTTCCGGTTAAGCTAGTTTAGGCAGTTTATTGTGATAGTTCTGCCTACGTTGTTCAGTTTTCATACCGAGGTCGATTTGTGCTCGTTTGCTGCTCAAATTGAAGACAAACCTCGACTATTTTTGGCTGCCTCTTCGGAGTGCACTAATATGCTAGAGACTACTTCATCTTCACTCGTACTCCAGCACATCTTTAATTTGCCGCACTCGAAGTTTCGGCACAAGTATCGGGGACAGTGATCGTCACTCGATTGTTGCAACCTCTTGTTCGGTTTCCGACACAATGTTTCCCCCTGCCTGCACTTTGCTGATCTAAGACGGGTAACAACCTCGGAGTTCTTCATTGCTGCTTCGGCCTACTGTCCAATCTTGTACTCAGATATTCGATACATTATCAGGCATCTTTTTAGTTGCTCATTCATACACAACTTGCTTTACGCCAGTTTTCCGAATCGTTTCGCTTCCGAATGCGCTTTTTTAATCTTAATCGGTGGACAGCATGCCAGCATATACAAAACTGATGTATTCAAGTTTAATGTTAAAAGATCGCCGCATAGTTGACCATAGACTTACATGTTTTTATTTGAATTTAGTGGTATTGTGAAAGTTGGTTTCGACCGCTGGTGTTGACTGGAGTTGGCGGATGTGTAGAGGCCGTTCCACCGACAGTTGCTGAAATTGTTCTCAGGCTCAGTGTTTCTTGCTTGAGTTTGGGGACTCATTCCCGGCGAGGGGGTTTGAGGAGTGGTGTTTTTCATGTCGTTCGCGGAAAAATCATTTTTCCTATTTGAATACACTTCAAGAAATGAATCCTTCGCAACCTTCTCCCTTTTCTGCTTATTTTGCATAGTTTGCTTTCTCCAGCTTGGCATTCTACCTTCATTTCCGAAATTTTGGAGCTGATTTTGTTTCTCTTGTACCTTAGATAGTTCGTTATTGCATCTACTTGGTATGACATGTATGAGATTACCGCAGTCTACCTCTAGCTCCTTGCATTTTTGGCGAAAACCTTCTTCACCCGAACTTTCAGAACTACCAGGACCTTGTATGCTACCACACTTCAGTTGTTTTTTTGCATCGTTGGCGTGCATTGCCCGGTTGACTGATGATAACCTCACCAGTCCGTTGTGACTACCCGAATTGTTCCTGGCAATGAACCTTTCTCTTTCTGTCGGATTTAGCATGTCAAAGAGATCTCCTCGACCCGTAGACCAACTGCGACTTGGTGGTACCATCGAAGGTGACCGATGCCCAAATCTCCATCTATTTGGCGAAGAATAAGTGAATGGCAAATTTAAAGATGCGCTAAATGCCTTAATTGACTAAACATGATCTTCACAGTGACATCACACAACAGTTTAACATTACAGGTGGGACAGAATGCTTTATGTCTTGACGCTTGGGTTGCTTTCACCCGTCTGGATCACTCACCTTTCGTCGTCATCATACCATGGCGTAGATGCGTATAAGTCACAAGTACAGCGCGAGCCCACCAACTTTCCAATATGGCCCCATTTCACCACTAGTGAAATCGAATCGTGTTGTATTCGGTGATGCATACCCAATGTGTCCTTTCTACTCCTTTGCATCCACCTGCATCGTTAGCCTGAAGAAGAGTGTTTGCACTAGCCAGAGGATGTTGAACACCACGGAACTACTGCACACATCGATCACGTAACAGCGGACTGTTGTTCCTTTTCGGGTGATTCTGAGCTTATAAAACTGTAATGAATCACAAACGCTGGTCAAAGCCAATCGTGACATTCTTGCGTTTGTGCATACCTGCTGTCCTCGTTCCTAGAAAAGTCTGTGTTACAATTAGCGAAACGTTTATGCTGAACTTTCCCTTAGCTGGCTAAGATAGGTGTTCTGATTTTGCATCAAAGTGCGCTGACATCCGGGCTGAGTAAGCGCCAACTGAACATCTTCGATCACTGGTCGCATATTCTCCAAACGTTGCTATCAGCAGGCATGTCTTCATGTGGCAAATCAAATTGCCAAACTGGACATTGGGTCTCTACGCAGTCTCTGGAATTTATGGATGCTCGCCGACGTATTCCGGCTGAAAACGAATATAAAGAAAATCACAAAAACTCAGGGTAAAATTACATGCTAGTCTGAAGAAAGACCGCGAAGCCTGGTGGTATCATCATGCCTCTGAGATGGAAACAGCCGTTACCGTTGGCAATCATCGTGTTATTTCGTCTGATACGGGAAACAGGCAGCAGGAGACATGGTATTAGTGAGACCATGTGCGACCAGAGTGGGCAGCCGATCCATACAGGCTTTCAAAGCACTTGGAGCGTTGGGCCGAACACTTTGCAAGACAGTTTAACCAACCTGAGTTATCGGTTTCTTTTTCAGGCATCGAGCGCCATTCTCCCTGGACCGTCTCCTTGGATTCACCCTCACGCGCAGTAGTCCAACGTGAGACCAGGCTGTTGAAATTGCATAAGGCCGCAGGGTCAGATAGAATTCCCCCAGCCCTCTTCAAATTTGGGGAACCTGCTCTAATAGATTATTTACACGAGTTGCTAGTGAAACTTTGTTAGCGGGAGACTGTCCCGACAGACTGGAACCGCTTCGTCACTATCCCAATTGTCAAGGGAGTCTCACGTTTGGGATGCGGCAGTCATAGAGTGATCAGTCTGATTTCATTTGCCTCTAAATTGCTTGCGTTTGTCATTCTCCACAGACTGACGTACTCGTGAATGCCAGATTCGTGAAGAGCAAGCCGGATTTCGTCGAGGTCGGGGCTGCATTGACCACATCTTCACCTTGCGTCAATTGTTGGAGCACCGCCATGTTTATTGGCGACCCACTGTTGTCGTATTTCTTGACATAAAAGGTGCCTTCGACTCAGTCGATCGATCTGCTCTTTGGGACTGTCTGCTGAGGAAAGGTGTGCCTGATAAATATGTAAACATTATCAAAGCGCAGTACGCGCATAGTTCGGGCAGAGTGAGGGTTTATGACAAACTGTCGCCACCCTTCACTATCACCAGCGGTGTGAGACTTTTCCTCTTTAACTTCGCTATTGATGAAGTCATGGAAACAGCATTCGCTGGACACAACCTAGAAGGTGTGGAGCTACTTCCTGGTGAGCGACTTCTTGACTTGGAGTATGCAGACGATATTGCCCTAATCCGTGACTGCTCCCAAACATGCCAAACAGCACTGGACCGATTAGCACTGGCTGTCAATCGTTTTGGGCTATGCTTTGCTCCATCGAAATGCAAAGTACATCTCCAAGTTTGGCAGGAACCCACCCCTGCGCTAACACTTTGTGGTGATCTGCTAAAAGTCGTTCAGGAATTCAAGTACCTGAGCAGCTATATTAGCACCCGTGGGATTGAAGATGAGGTTACGAACCGTATAGCAAAAGCTCGAGGTGCTTTTGCCAATCTCCGCAGATGCGACAATACTCGCTTTGAATGGCAGAGTTTATAACGCAACCATCCGTTCAACTCTCCTATATGGTTGTGAAACCTGGCCCATCAGGTTGACAGAGATAAAGTGGCTCGTCATATTCGATCATTGCTGCCTTCGTAGCTTAGCTCATGTCTGAGGGGAGCACCGCGTGAGCAATGAGCGTGTTCGACGTCGCGTATTTGGTGCAAGAAGAGCGAGTGAACCGCTCAGCATCATTATATCACGCAGCAGGCTCCGATGGCTTGGCCATGTGTTGCATATACCATCACACTGACTACCGCGACGTGCATTGTGTTGCGCGTCGCGGGTGTGATTGGAAGAGGAGGAGGAGCGGAGGCCAAGCGATGACTTGGTTGAGAGAGATGAAAACCTTCACTTCGAAGTTGGCGTCGGTTGGTGCATCCCGACTGCCTGGCTGGGGTCCTGAGGACGGTGAACACGTTTGGTTGGACACACTTGCTGATATGGCTAGGAGCGGGCCCCAATGGCATATGTGTTGTGAGTTCCTTTGTCCATCCGCCTCCTGCTTAGCCTCTCCCTCCAATCACGATCACATTCGGTATGCATAACATAACTTTTTGCGGCACGATAGCCGGCTGTTAGCTCTTCGGAACGATGTCTATCCGTTACTGGGTACTCAGCGGGCGTGCCACTGTTTGTTTTCCTTTGCTTGTCTTTTGTATTGCGGCGCAATAGCTGAGGTGTTTTCCACCTGCAGACAACGTGTATAATGATGATGATGAACGTTCCCTTGTTCCACAATACTTGCCATGTCCACTTCTTCCGATACAGGCTGACTGCTCATTTGATTAAATCGCGTTCGATCTACTCATTGCTTTACTACCCTATTTGACTCTGAAACCGTGGTCGCATTACTCAGCCAATTCTCCTATGTTGCTCATTAAATGGTACGCTCATTCTGTTGAATAGGTTTTCATGTTTATTTAATGAGTGGTTCACTTTGAAATACACGATGTGTTGGGATTTTGACACTTAGTCTTGGGCAGTGTTTTGCTGTACAGTGAACTCCAGTCATCCCGAGTACCAGGAAACTTCTTTTAAGTTGGAATAATTTTTGTTTCACTCGATCCGGAAATCACTCGAAGAAATCGACTCCTTCCTGCTTTGATCAGAGTTAGCCTAGATTAAATTTCTCTTCCGAGGCATCGTGGCTACCCGAAGTGTGTACTACTGGACTACCAAGTTCCGTGGGCAAAGCTTGTCACTGCACTTGCTTACTCAATTACTTCAGTCAGCATAATTTAGCTAAACCAAGTATTTTGGTACAACGATTCCAGAATAACTCCAACCAATATCAAACCACTGTTCGTGGAACCTGTTGGTCTAACAGCCGGAATGTTGGACCAAAAACGAGGAAGTAGTTCATATTCTTTAATTTCCAGTCTTAGGTAATCATTGCCGACTATGTTAATCTACCCTGTTTATGGTTTGGAGCTGCGTTCGATGTAGGACCATTTTCCTGTCGCTTGAAAATATCTCCATTTTGGATGAGTTCCTAATGCCCAAAACAACCTTTAACTTCAAAGTAAATTGCATTCTAAATCTAGACCACATCTAGCGATCCGAACACACGGTGGATTATCTAAAACACGATGCAATTTCCTGGCCTCCATGATAGGCCACACTTACTGAACTGTGACAGCGTTTACTACCAACTTCTGAACTCTACATTAATTTATCTGCACATTGTAAACATAACAAAGCATGCTTTTTAGAGTATGATTGGAAGCCAGAAACATCGCAATCACTTTTACTGAGATGAATGCGTTTTGGCTGTTAAATCACTGCAGAAGTCATCCCGTGAGTAGAAGTGTGCGACTAGCTCAAAAGTCATGCCGTCGATACTTGGTGTGCAAGCAGTGATAAGTTAACATTCACTTCGTGCAGTAAGGAATAACTGCAGTCACCGACCAGGTTTAGTTAACTGCATTGAAGTAGTTCTATCCCTCACGGAGCTCACATCACTGTTTCAACACAAAGCTCTACCTGGCGAACCACATGTCGACTAGGCCAGCTGTACTTTGTATTTGCTGGACTTCTACACGCGGCGTGTACTTGTCTTTCGCCACGTCCTCACCTCCGCAACCCGGTGCTTTCCCTAAAAGCTTCATGAAAATTTGTCTCACATGGAATCGGATTTTCTGCAACTTCCGATCCTCCTGTGTACGTAGTTCCAAACTAGATATATCCATTCATGAACACTCCGGTGGGTTTCTGCTCCCTGGCGTCACTTTACCATTTCAGACCGTCCGGCTACAATTCTCCCTTTTCATTTAACTTATCACGGTTTTATGGGCGACGTTGTTTCGCGTTGGAATACAGTCGACTCCATAAGGCTAAGGAACTCTCGCTCATTATATTCTAACAGTCCATCTGAAGCATTCTGGAAGTGAAATATGAACTTACAACACTAACTAGGTGGACTGGATTTCTGCCACGATCCGTTAACTCTGCCTTTGAAATCAGTGAGAGAAATGTTAACAGTCATGATATCCAACGAGCAACATTTCCTTGAAGATAGTTAAGCTGATGGGTATTTGATAAATGTTGGAAACCGGTGGTGCTAATGGTACACGATTTGTTTGCACACAGGAGATTCGTCATTCAGACAACTTCCATGTCATGCGCCATAGACCATGCCATCACAGGTATATTTCATATAGATGGAAGAGCTTGTTTCTAATACGGTTGGTAGTAAGTTATTTACACAGGTCAAGTAATTCGCCTTACTTTCTTTGTCAAATGCCAACGCGGTACTGATGGTAAACTTACTTAGTATCAAGACTTGTTCTCGAGGACTCCGGTGTAACCGTTGTGCTTCCTATCCGCGAACCACTCGACTTGAGCCTTCGGATGCTGACCTGGAAGTTGTGTCTGCTAGGTGGATCGGTCTTGAATCGTTGTTCCATTGGAATTGGTTTACTTCAATCAGTGAATCACCGTATGGACGGGTGAAAAAAGGAACATCAATTATGCCATACGAACCATCCATTATATTCCAGTTCGGGAAACAAATGGTTCATTAAAATGAGTACAAGCCGTTCAAGACAAAGCTCTAATAGAATAAATGAAATTGCACTTCTTATGCTTAGCCAGAAACTGCTTTCTGAACTTCCTCCTCCTCGAGTTGGTCTAATTTCGAATGGTTATGATAAGCACCTAATGTTAACCACTCCAAACACTGCATTTCAATACCGATTTCCTCCTAATCTGAGCTCATCAGATATCCGAAGTCTGAGTTCGAACACTGAGTGCTGGCGTGCAAACTTATTACGCACAAGGATATCGAGCTGCGATTGGAATTCAACGCGGGTTCTAAATGAATTTACTATCGGTATGGTCTCGATGGTTGAACTCAGAGCGTTTTGCCAAAAAGTACCGAAATCACGTGATTGGAACCTACAGTTCTGCCGCGGATTTGTCTCCATCAACTGAGTGCGGAAGATTTCGCTCGTTATATATGAATTCAATGAAAAAGCTCGACGTATGTATGAAAACTATGGCACTGCGTAGGCACGCTAACTGAGAAGACAACCACACACGGTCTATTGTTAACAATCGAAACAATGTTGAAGTATACCGTCTTGAAGCACACGTGTGGATGGATTGCGACACGCAGTCTCAATGTTGACCGCGATTCCCATTAAAGTGAAGCTTGGGCTTCCGATCACGAGGACCGTAGCTGATGCAAATAGAACTTGGGTGTTGCCCGCCCGAAAACACTGCACTCCTATGACGCGTTTCGATGTTATTACACTTCGCGGTTAACATTGTGATTGCGTGTCGCAATCCATTCACACAAGGCGTACTTCAAAATGACCCTCAACCTCGTTCATTATACCGTTGTGCCAAGCGTTGCCCGTGACCCGGTGGCTTAGGGGTAGCGGTCACAACTAACATCCCGATGGTTCCGGCTTTGATGTCTGCTAAGTTTATCTGATGAGATGTAATCACATCGAAACGCGTCATAGTAGTGCAATGTTTTCGGGCGGGCAACATCCGATTTCTATTTATACCATCTTCTAATGCGCTGCGCGTGTTAGTGTAAATTGCTGAAAATCCTCCCATATGGGTGTATAAAGCCTATATTGACTTAAACCACTGACCATAACTGGCTGCTTCTGAATGTATAAGTATACCGATATTGACCATTTTACTTTTTGACAGTCATCTCTTAAGTGACCCCCTGTTTTCGCGGGTCGGACATGGCGTACACACAGGTATTAAATAAATTGGCACGCAGTATAGTCTATCACTGAAAATGTGTTCATGTTTCAACGAGGAAGTTAATGTTGGGCTGAATCCACGTTCGCCTAATTTACATGACCATTCAGTAACCACTGTTGTCATTCGGATCACGGGCCTGGATAACTGTATAGCTCTTAATGGTCAGCCACTTATGAAGTTACAACGTGCTTCTGCATACTGGATGGACGGAGCAAGGGGATATGTCTCTGTGTGGCTGCATTCGCTACATTTCATGTCCGCAGTGTATGCTTAGGAGTTTCTTGAATTCCGACACTGACTTTCCTTCGACTGTGTGCGGCGGCAGGTTGTTCCATACATTTACTACTTTCCGTTCGAAGCAGAGTTGGTGGGCGACGCGCTTCAAACCCGGTGCTTCAGACTTGTACCGGTGTCCTCGTGTGATGCTTGGTGTGTGCATATGAAACAGTGGCCTCAACTTGAGGTAATCACCAAGATGTAATATTCGGTGCGTCATGGTGAGGTCAACTCGCACTCCGCGACAAGACTAGGTGTAAAGTCCTAATCTGCTGCACAAGTCTTCGTACGGCACACCGCGCAAATTGGGGATTAACTTGGTGGCTACATGCTGTACCCGCTCGATCTTTTGTATTTCGCCCCGCGGGATAATACAGTATGTGGGTGAGCCGTATTCCAGCATTAGTCCTATGACTGGGACAAAATGGTAAGTGGCCGTGTCTTCGGATCATGTGCTGAAGCTGCGCTTGGGTGCCCAAAGCATACGAAGTCCGTTTTGCTAAAGCCTTTTCATGTTGCCCACGAACTTTAGGTCGCAGCACAAGAGTACACCGAGGTCTCTCACGAAAGCTGTGGGATGAAACGGTTGACTGGTCACAGTGTAAATAAAAGGATACATGAATTGTGTATTCTCGACTGTGCGAGACGTCTGCATGGGTATGATCATGGCAATACAAAATAAGACCGGTACTTGTATGCATATGCTACAAGTCAACCAGCTGCAAACTGGATTCATGAGAGTATATGCGTATGTAGGTATGTGTGTATGTGACCATATTGAATGTAGTTGTTCATATAACGCTGTACGTCTGATTGTGTTTGATCTGGTTGTCAGTACAATAAGAGATCACAGCAACCCTTCGAAGTGGATTAGTAACTTCCGTGGATGGGGTAAAATCATCTTGATGGTCATGAGGCGATGGCTTCATTTAGTGGCGAGTCACATCCGCCACGTCGCAGTGTTAAACGGACATTTGTGGCTTTTTATAGCGAGAACGCTTGCCCTTCGGAAATCAACCAAGTCTTGAAAAATTACCGCCGAACCATTTGCTGGCACGAGATTGATCTTAGCCATCCAGCTGGTACCACAATAACTGAGGTGTTTCCACCTGAATCTAACGTGTATAATGAATGAATGGTACCACGAAGAGGTTGTTCGGTAAGCCGTGCCCACCTTTACCCAGCCTCATGAATATTACGGCCGCACATGTTGACGTGCGATTGGTCGTGCAGCATTGTCGCATTGGTCGATAATAAATGGCTTTTTACTCATGTTCCGATTGGCTCGTTTTACCCTTTATACTTTCCGCTTCGATCCACATGTCAGAACACAGTTCCACATGTGTCATACTGCTGTGCCTTCTCACTCCGAGTTCGGGGCTACGTGTCCAATTACGAAAAAGCTATACATGAGCAAAACGTATCAGGATAGCGATGGGTATTACGAACCATCTGGTGAAGGTGTCAATTCTGTGGCCCGATGATTCCGAAAAGTCATCCTTACAATCGTGGATGCAGTGGATGACACCTTTCTTTCACTAAATGACCCTTTTCCTCGTGTTGAACCCTTCTTTTGACTTGTCCGATGCCCACTGGATAATGTTATTCCGCCAAGCAGTTGGTTCAGAAGGACGACGACATTTTGACGCTATAAACTTAATAACTAAGAAGAGTATCGTACACGTAATCCACTTGTTCGAGGAGCTATGAGGTATTCAGCAAATTGTCTTTTCTTCTCGTTACCAGTTCCTTCACTTACAGAAGCAGCGCCTAGAAAGCATATATGACTTCATTGCGCGCATTCACCAAGCGACACCAGAATGCCGATACAATCCAGTTCTTTTAACGCATGTCGAAGAAGTCGTGAACATTCAGTGCCTTATCGGTGGAGTTATGATGACGCGATAGAAAAGTTGCTATCGAAAGAGGAACAAACCATTTCATGGGAAGCCGTTTACAACCTCATGTGTCAAAGAGAAAACCTGAAAACCCAATTATCCATATTCAACCCTTTTCAGCGTACAGAGTGTGTAAGCAAGATAACTCCACGTTTTTCCTCCGAAAATAGGTTACGAATGTTCGTCTGCTACCGATGCGGTGACCAGCACACTTCCCCCACCCAGTACCGTCACCTTCGCATAAAGTGCAGGAATTGCGGAAAAAATATCCACTTGGCACGTGTATGCCGTTCTCCACGGTCACAACTTTCAGTTAAATCGTTGAACCGGGATGACGGGGAGTGCCCTGATTCCCTGTCAAATTTTATGAACCATATACTTGTAAATTGCTCCATTATGACGAGAGTATCTCCATATAGGGTTACGCTTCATGTTAATGGCGAACCAGTTTTATTTGAATTGGCCACCGGGTCCACTGTGATTCTGATTAGCAGAAACGTGCTCTCCTCATTGTCTAATCTGGAGCTGAGTGATATTGTTTTCAAAACCTTTACAGGAAGAGTGGTTGACCTACTTTGGAAGTGCCAAGTACGAGTTAAACACCATGGTCAATCACACAATCTAGTAATTCATGTTGTATCTCATTCTCTAGTCAATCTGTTGTGTTGTGACTAGATGAAATAGTTGCCACTAGTATTAAGTACTATCCATGTCTTGGGGGAGGACACCGTGGGCTCGGTTCTTAAGCGATATCCAGCCGTGTTCAGTGAACAGCAGTTGGGAAAACTGAACAGTTTTAGAGCAAAGATTCATATGGCGGACTCTAGTACACCTAGATTAAGGCCAGAACGCTGCCTTACTGCTTACGGCCCAAGGTGGAAGAAGAGTTAAACAGGCTCCGACGAGAAGGCATAATTGTGTCAATTGAACAAGCTGAATGGGCGGCACCAAAAGTCCATGTACTTAAACCCGACGGCAGCGTACGGCTTTGTGGCAATTACAAACTAACAATAAACCACGATGCAACCATAGACCATTATCCACTACTTCAAATCGAGGATTTATACGCCACTTTATCTGGTGGGGTTAAGTTTCCCAAACTGCATTTGAGTCATTCTTACTCCCTGGCGGAATTAGATGAAGTCACTCACCATCTTACTAAGGTCAGTACACATTTGGTCCTATTTGAATACACCAGACTTCCTTTTTGGGATTAATCCAGCCCCGGCTATCTTCCAAAAAATAATTGAAAACATCGTGCGTGATATACCGAACACTTCTGGACACCTAGATCATTTACTACTGGTGGCACAGAAGAGGTGCACCTCCGCACGTTGGACCAGGTGTTACCTAGACTGACTGAACATGGTTTGCGTTTGAAACACCCCAAATGTGTTTTTATGGTTGATTCCGTTGATTACATTGGTTATCGCCTGGATGAACATTGTTTAAATGCACTCCCACGTAACGAAGTGCAGCTACGTTCGTTCGTTGTAATGCTATCGCATTATCGTCGTTTCCTACCCAAACTTGC